CACTACAGAATCTTATTGTACATTAACAATGACAATGCATATAAAACCACTCACTCTGATGGCTGCAAACCCCCTGATGAATTAGATGAACTTGACCAAGGGGGTGGCTCTGTCACAGTCTTTGCATGTTGCCTTAGAGGGTCCTCTCTTGACATATTTGTGGAAAATATCTGTTTCCTGTTTTCATGAGCCTTCATATTCTGAGACATAAACAATAGATTAATGGTTATAGTGAGGAGGAAGATGCCTAATGATGATGATGATTGCAAGGATACATAGATGTAAAGGAAAGGAGAAGAACCATTCCATTTAGTACTCACCTCTGTTCTAGTAGTCAATACATCCTGAAACTGTTTTGTAGCACCCATAAGTCTGTTCTTCAAATCGTCACATACAGCATTAGAATGAACAACTCTATCTTCCGAAAAAATTCCATCAGCAATCTCCATGTTTTGAAGGGTTTGCAAATCAGAAATTGCTATATTAAGGGCTGTGACGTCGTCTTTTATCAAGGCAGTTAATTGTTGAATTTCCTTGATCGGATCATCAAAAATAGATGACCGTTTAGCCACTGCATGTCCATGCAAATGAAAATTGAAAACCTCAGGCTAGCATAACATCATCTAAATGCAGTAACCGGAAGTATAACAAAGTGCCACACTAATGTAATTACTTCACAAGTTTATATTTTTGAGATGATGAACATAAGATAGAGACAAAAAATAATGACCAGTTTTGAGCTTCACTGAATCAATCAAGAGTACACTCAAACATGTACTATGAAAGCTTTACAACATCTTCAATCTACAAGTGATTGCGAGATCAAGAAAATAACTACATTGTTTATTTTTCTGAATACGTACACAACAACAGTTCCCTTGGAAGTTGGAACCTCTACAAGGTACATCCAGTCAAGAAAAAGGAAAAAAAGGCACAATGGCGATGCACTAAGGCAGAGTATTACTTTCCGAATAAAAATAAATTGAAAGTTGGGATATATTGCAGATCTTGTGGTTTCAAGTTTTTCAAAGGCACATATTGGTCAGAAAGTAGATCTTCTTGTAATAAAGAAACTCAATTTGTGTGTGTGTGTGTGCGCGTGAGTGTGACAGAGAGAGAAACAGAGAAAGCAGACAAAACTCTAGTCAGTTAAGACTTCCTTCAAAAAACCTTTCTCACAAGGAGCAATATAGTTCATAGTTGTAAGCCCTTGTTTGAAGTTCTTACCTCTTCACATTCTCCGCTAATATTTCGATTGTAGATGCATTCACTCAAACAAAGAGCACAAATCTAATAGTTCTGTTTCCTATAACATGTTAAAAGAAGCATTCATAGATTATTGTAGGATGTCACACTAATTTCAAAAGACGTTACAGCAACATAATACATCAGGCTAAAGACCAAGTCAATCAAATTTATGGAAAGGCCTAACTTCCAAAATGAACAATTATTCCCCAAGACTAATCAAGCCTTAACAAACACATGAGAGACAACAATAGGCAACAGAGAGTAGCGCTGTAAAGTAGGATCAAGTAGAACTGAGTTTATTCCAATAAAAATCCATATCCATATCGAAGGACACCAAGGATTCAATCAGGTTAGATTAAATTGTTTTTGTTTTTTAAAGCATTAATGATTAATATATCCAGGTAGTGCTAGTAGTGTAAAGCTTTAGCACCCAATGGGTATGTGAGATCGTTGATTCTATCGACTGATGCCATTTGCTGAACACATTCCCCAAAAATCATATAATACCATCAAAGCATAAACAGAACTAGAATTGTCTCATGGTCTCTATATCCATCAACCAAGGCGATTGAGAGCGTAAAATTCAGGCGCCTCATAAATGAGATTGGGTATAAACTAGTTCAGCTTTTTAGCTGATTTTTCCTCCAAAATTCCACTTAAAATACCTTAACTATTGCGCCCAAACTCAGCGTTAATGGTGAAATGAGACCAAAAAAAAGAAAGAAAAAAGTAGCTGAATTTTGAATTAAGTGCCCTAATTCAACCATTTCTATTGCCTCAAATCAAACCATCAATTCAGGAGGATATTATAATCATCTTGGGAGACATATAAATGATTCATGAGAGAGAGAGAGAGAGAGAGGTTTACGTTTGGCCAGTCTGGAGATCTTCAGAGAGGCTTCGTGGATGCCCAATCCAATTCGTGAAGCCCTTTTGTTGAATTCGGATCTATACGCAGTTGGGTTTGGCTTGGATGTGGATGGGAGGCTCTGTGATTCGTTTGAGGCAGCCGCTGTTCCTCCAATCTTCTTCAATGTATCCGAGAGAGATCGGAATTCTGACGTCCGATCTCGGTAGGTGGAGGCTCCGGCGGCCGCCATTGATTCCCTTGTCAGAACCGAGTCCCAAGATGGGTATAGAGAGATACTGTGTACGCGCGCGCGTCTTTATTGGAGGTTGTCGGAATTGGTGTCGCTCTAAGCTAAGCGAGAAAGCAGGATAACCAACCAATTATGGGCCGGAAAAAGCCCATGGCCTGTAGTCTGTATTGTTAGCCCATAGACTCATTTATCCATGATCTACACCCAGCCCACGAAATGGAGACCCCAGAGATTCACTGAGCCATGATCTAGCCCAGCCCGCAAAATGGTGCCCCACTGATAACCCAATAACCCACTGGTCAGGGATCATAGCTTGTTTTTGGGCCACAAACGCTGTCCGCAAGGTGAGCTTACACCTATGGCTCTCAATTGACTTATGTGGTGTCGTTTGATATCAAAATTTGTTCAATTTATTTTCAGTATAATCAAAATCACATACATATCAACTCGTTTACTTGAAAGGCAAGGTGTTTTTTATGAACCCGTTAAAATTAAATACAAACCAACAAGGGTCTTGTATAGAATTACCAAACCTTCCTACAGCTCGGCTTGTTGACCAAGTTTATGTCACAATTAAAGTTAAAAAGAAAAAAAGTAAATCCTCTGAAAGACTGCGTGTTGAAGAGCGGCCCAATGATATTGGACCCAATGGATGGACTCTAATTTTCTGTAAGCCCAATCAACAACCCGACTGGCAGGCCCATAAATTTACCTGGGCCTTTGACAGGTAGGCTGACTAAGCCCCATTGTTTGATGACTTTTGTATTAGGGATTTGGAACCTCTCAATTTCAAAGGTTTTTTTGACCGTGGATATAATTTTTAGACTTATTTAAGAAAAAGTGTATGAATAAATTATTTAATCTATTAAGTTCAATTTTAATAAAATATATTATATTTAGGTACAAAATTCAAATGAAATCAAGACAGTTTTACCTAAATATCCTCTATTAAATTATGCATTCTTGATTGACGATTATATATCTAATCAAATATGTAAAAATTTTATTAGACTCTCCTTATTTCTCTCCTATTTTTTCTCTATCTCTCCCCTATTTTCTCTCTATATCTATAATTGATAATTTATTTTTTTTCAAATATGTAAAGATTTGATTTATTTTTTCATCTCTCTTTTTTTTTTCTCTCTCTCTCTCTCCTTTGTTTTCTCTGACCATTTCTCTTTCTCTCTATTTATATCAATATTACAACAACACAATTACACAAATCAGTTACAATTATCTTCTACTACATCAAACAGTTACTCATGCATTCTAATAATCTAAATAGTTACGCCAAACAATACACAAATTTATAACATCAACTCAATTTGTCATTTAGTTATTTACATAAACTAAATAATTGCACTATTTAGTATCACGACATCGTTACACAATCATATATATCAAATTTAGTATAATGGTAAAGTCTTTTGTGTAATGATAAACTCAATTTTGTGTATATAAGTAGTGTAATTATGTTGTTATACTAAATGGTGTAACTATTTAATTTATGTAAATAACAAAATAACAAATTGGATTGGTGTTGTAATTTCGTATAATTATTTCGTATAACTATTTAGTTTATTAGAACATATGAGTGCCTGTTTAGTAACTAATAGATGTAACTGATTAGTATAATTGTATTGTGTAACGTTGATATAAGGAGAGAGAAAAATGAAGAGAATAAGAAAATAAGAAGAGAGAGAGATAAAAAAATTAAATCAAATCTTTACATATTTAAAAAAAATTATCAATATGAGAAAAATAGAGAGAGAGAGAGATAGAGAGAAAATAGAGAAGAGAGAGTGAAAGAGTAATAGAGAGAGATGAGAGAAAATAATTGAGTAATAAATGGACTTTTAGTCTTTTTTAAAAAAAATGCACTTATGGCCAAATAAGTTTTTTTAATGTAGTTTAGCTCAAATAAGTCTAAATTTTTGTACCGACTTCTAAATTACCCCAATTTCAAATATTGTCAATTCCATGAAATTTCGTCATATAGGCCATTAAGTTTATTGGATCCAATGATGTAATTGTCTATTTCAAAGGCCCAACTAACAACCCAATTAAACGTAATTCCCAAAAAAAATCCAATTAAAAAAGGATAAATTGAAAATGGGTACACTATATTGGGTTTAATTGTAAAAAATTATACAGAAAAAAATGTAAAGTAAAGAAGTTCTTAATTGTGTATGAGTACATAATTTAAAATTTTCGAATTTTCCTTTGACATTTGTGTCTTCCCTTAAATCATGCGATTATTTTTGAAAACTATTTTTTTTTCAAATTATATTTATGCATTAAAAATCTCCTAATTTAATGAAAGATTTGATTATTCTATTTATTTTGAGGATAAATCAGTTGATTTGAATTTTACATTTTGCAACAATATCATTTGTTGTCTTCTTCTTCGGACTATAAGCAATTTATGAGTGCAAGTCCAAAACATTATTTCAACTTTATAATTCAATATAAGCAATTACAAGGCTTGAATTCATGACCTCATTAAATTTATGTCTGTCATTTTAAAGGTGATTATACTGTTTTTTTATATGTGAATATCATAACCGAAGTTCATCATGTATATGCATTTACAGTGTAACAATAACAGTGTAAAAATTTACTTACACAAAACACTGTATTGTTACATTTTGTCAAATATATATTTGCATATAACTTCATTGTAATAGTTTAACTATATTTTGAATTTGTTACCATATCAACTAAATCATTGAACATTGTTTGCATTACAGTGTTACACTGTCTTTGTTACACTATGCGAGAAACATAGATGAACTTACATCTATAATGGCGGACCAATAGAATTTTCCTTTCAAATACAAAATCATGTAGATGTTTAGGGAACAATTTAGAGTTTCTCGCCGAGGAAGATGGAGCAGTTTTTGGATAGGCAAAAGAAGAGGTAACTGTTTTTCGAAGATGAGGCTCTTCACGAATTAATGTTCCTAAAATCCAGCAATTAATCTTTATCACTGTGTACCTAATTAATTTTAAGATATATTTCTAAAACCGTTTTTAGAAAAATAATTTTAGAAAATGAGCAATTAATGACATGTTTTGTTTGCATCTCAAAAAATAGTATCCGAAAATAGTTTTTTAGAAGAGTTTAAAAATGTTATTTTGATATTTTCTGAGACGAAAACCTTGTTTGATTAGATGATTCTAAAAATATTTTTATAGAATAAAAAACAATAAAACTTGTTTGGACAACTTAAATATATGTTTGAACAATAATTCAATTTATATTAACATCAATTTTAATATTAATTTATTTACCAATTTCAATATCAATTTATATACACACATTCACAATATATATACACACATAGTATATATATAGAACGCCGAAGAACACACTCACCCATCACACACCAGAGAACTCATACCCACACACTGGAGAACACAAATAACGTCGGAGAACTCACACCACACTCCAAAGAACACAAATAACATCGGAGAAGTTAGATCTTGAACACACACCCACATTGCCTAGATCTCGAAGACGAACATAAATCTTGAACCCAGATCGTGAAGGAGAAGATAGATCGTTGGAGAAGAAGACACCCTTCGTCGGAGAAGGTGAAGACACCCTTCGTCTATGTGTGTTTGTTCCGTTTGAAAGACAAAGTGGAGAGAGAAAGGAAGGAAATCAGACATAAACAAATCTTGTGGAGAGAGAGAAGACGAAGACACCTTTCGTCCGTGTGTGTTTGTTTCATCTGAAAGGCAAAGTTAAGAGAGGGAGAAAGGAAAAAAAAAACCTTTATACTATGACTAGTTTTGCTGCTAAAGGGATTCGAAGGGGAGACCTTATTAAAATCTTTAAGAGTTGTTCCCCTTGTTTTCCATTTTTTATTCTCAATTCTCACTTTTGTTTTTTGAAACTTTTAACTAAACAGTATCTCACCAAAATTTGTGTTTTGAGAACAAAAAACTGGTTTTAAGACATAAATCAAACACCACCTAAGTCCTTGTATTTCAGTAGTGTATTTAATTACAATATATTTTTTCTATGTATTTTTTTACGATTTTATCTAATTTAGTGTATTGACTTCCAAAGAACGTTAAAAAAACACCCTAATGTATAGTATTAGAAGCCCAGTCCAACAAAAAAGCCCACAAGTATCCGAACTCCACAGCCATCAGATTCAAACAAAGTAAACAAATCACAACCGTCCATTTTAGGTCTTCATCTACAACACCCTATATAAACCCCACCTCAACATCTGTACTCCTCCCAGCAAACCAGTGGTTAGGGTTTCTCTTTCTTCAGCAAACAACCTGAAAGTGAATAGGAGAGGTTAAAGTGACGGCGCCGTCGCTGTCCGCCTTGATCAAGCCGTCGCTTCGTCTTGGCCCTCGTTTTTGCCCAATCTCTTCCGTTCAATTTTAGGCCTTAGTCTTGTACACTCTGTTGAATCTATACATATACTTATATCTTTGAAGCTCAAGCTCATCAGAATCAATGGCGGTGAAAACATCGAAGGCCGAAAAGAAGATCGCTTATGATCAGAAGCTGTGCCAGCTTCTTGATCAGTACACCCAGGTCCTCATCGCCGCGGCCGACAATGTCGGATCGAACCAGTTGCAGAATATTAGGCAGGGACTTCGTGGAGACTCTATCGTGCTGATGGGGAAAAATACTATGATGAAGAGGTCCATCAGGATCCATTCTGAGAAGACCGGCAACAAGGCCTACCTCAACCTTATCCCCCTCCTTGTTGTAAGTGTAGTTCCAGTTTTTCGATTATTTTTGGATGCCTTGAAATTGGGATTTGGTGGAAGATGTTTTCTTTTTCTGATGTTTATCCTATAGTTAAACAACTTGTTGCATATTCTATTTATGTAGATTGGTTTTAGAATGACGTTTCGTTTTTTTTATGTCAGGGTAATGTTGGTCTGATATTCACTAAGGGTGATTTGAAGGAAGTGAGCGAAGAGGTCTCCAAATACAAGGTTAAGTTCTTTATAACTATTGTTTCATGCTTGTGAATCCATTTGTTTTTTTGTTAATGGATTTGAACTATGAAATTATGCTTAACCTTTTAGAGGATAGTTGTATGTATGCTGATTAAACTGAATTCTGAAATTACACCAACTCCTGAGAGGACAGTTTTATACCATTTCAATTAAAAATATTAAGCTTTTATTGTATTTTTTTGCCCTTACATGATTGATGATGATGTTTTATTTCTATTTGTTTGTACTGTTTGATAACCCGTTTCAGAAATTCCTTTTTTTTATTAGTAATTTCCACTTATTTTGCTTAAAAAATAGAGGACAGTTTTGATGACACTTTCCAAATTGTTAAATTTCTTGGTATTTATACACGAGGATATTAATGCATAGAGATGTTTGTGACTGCATAAATATATTTATATATGTTTATTGTGGATGTTCGTTGCATATATGGGCATGGCTTATATATGTGTATGCTATATATCGTATCTGTCTCACACATAGATGTATTTGTATGGATGCATATGTGGGTGCTTGTATGTGTGCTTGTGGGTAGGGATCATGAAAGGGAGCCAACATGGACACACAAGCTGTTCGGTCCAAAATATGTATATATGCCATATCTCTTATTTGAAAAGGGAAAATAAATGTTAGCATGGTAGAAAAGTAAAAGGAGTACTGAAAAAAGTGGTACCTGTAATTTATATAAGATGTGATACTCAACTATTGGTCTAGCACATCATTCATGGAAATGCATTTGCATAAAGGTATCAATAAAATTTTTTTTTTGGCCAACTCCGATAACTTGATTAGCTAGAAGTTTTCAGTGTGCTTTGCAATTCATTGTTGGGCCTATATAGTTTCTCATAAAAATGTGTATTTAGATCCTGTTCTGGAATTTTAAATCTTCTGTTTGATATTAGTCTTAATTTTTTTCATCAATCAGGAAGCAGATGTGAAAAAACTCAGGACTTGGTTATTTTTTCTCTTGTGTTTAGTTTTCTGTAAGAAAGTGAAGTTCAGTTGGTATCAGATTTACCAGTAAGAGTTTTTTGAATTCTGTTGTGCTTCTTGCCCTAGTGTAAAATTCTTGGCGGAGAATATTGATATTCCCGAAGTGATGTGCAGCTTTTTGTTCAATGTTCATCTGTTTTACCAATCCATTCTTGCAATTGTTACCGTCTTTAACGATTGCCACTGCCTGCCATTTTTTAATTTTTTTAAACTGTATAATCCTTATATTGAATCTGTGTCATTGCTGGAATTTGTAATAGAATGCCATAAAAGTTGTTTACTTTTATACATTTAGTTCTTTGGGGCTTAAGTAATATGAATGCCTTCAGTGGTCAGCATTATATTGCTCATTCATGTAACTTAAAACCACATCATCATATAGGAATATATAGGTTTCAAACATCTTTTCTCATTTTTTTGAGATACTCGCTAAGGGAATGTACTCAACCTTATTTGATTGTTTGGTTCTCTATACATTGCTTATTTTGGTGAAGTTTGTCTTTTTTTTATCAACTGTTTGCACCAATTTTTTTGAGATACTTGTGGCTCTAACTTGTCTATCTTCCTTGCCTCACCAGGTGGGAGCTCCTGCTCGTGTTGGTCTGGTGGCCCCAGTTGATGTCGTCGTCCCACCAGGCAATACTGGACTTGACCCATCTCAAACCTCTTTCTTCCAGGTCTTAATCTTCACTATGTGTTGATGGTATTTTTTCCTCTTATTTTGAAATAGCTGTTTCTGACAACACTTCTTTTCAGGTGCTCAATATTCCGACTAAGATTAACAAAGGAACTGTGGAAATTATCACCCCAGTGGAGCTTATCAAGAAGGGTGACAAAGTGGGTTCCTCTGAGGCTGCCCTGCTTGCAAAACTTGGGATAAGACCCTTCTCTTATGGTCTGCAAGTTCTGTCTGTTTATGACAATGGTTCAGTTTTTAACCCAGAGGTGCTTGATCTGACTGAAGATGATCTTATGGACAAGTTTGCTATTGGAGTTTCCATGGTTACTGCCCTGTCACTGGCCATCTCGTATGCAACACTTGCAGCTGCACCCCATATGTTCATCAATGCCTACAAAAATGTTTTGGCTGTTGCTGTTGAGATTGAATATTCCTTCCCGCAGGCTGATAAAGTGAAAGCGTACCTCGAGGTATGCAGTGCTTGTCTTCCTCGAAAGTAGATCTGTATTGCTTCTTTTGAATGCAGTTTTGGTGCTTGTTGTGCACCTGATTAATTTTTTTGGGCTAATAATATTACAGGATCCTAGCAAGTTTGCTGTTGCTGTGGCCTCAGTTGCAGCTGCTGATTCTGGTGCTGCTCCTCCTGCTGCTGCGGCCGCGGTGGAGGAGAAAAAGGAAGAACCTGCTGAGGAATCTGATGATGACATGGGCTTCAGTCTGTTTGACTAAGTTTATGTTGGTTATTAAGTGATCTTATGATAATGAACTTTGAAGTTTAGTAGTTTGTAGTTTTTCTTGTCTTTGTTGGGATTATGTGAATTTTAAGGATTTGTTGTCCTGTTGTTATGTTTCAGTTGTTTGACATATTTGAGCTATATTATGCAGTTAATTATGGTATTGGGTTTTTTTCATTGCTAGTTTTTAAGCAGCATCGAGTGAGCAGCATCCAGGCAATGCTGGTAACTATGGGTCTTGATGGTTTTCTTTCTAGTCCATTAGTTGATACGTGTGATGCCAGTTTGTCTGCTAACTTCTGGTTCAATTTCAAAAATGAAATTGAACCCCTTTCGATGGTAAAATCTTGCTTTGCACAAACTTTTTTAGTTGCTTGATCGGGCCTCACTGGGCAGATTAAGGGAAAAAAATATTGGGTATAACAGTTGTATAACGTCAGCAGTGTCACGGAATAGGTAAACAAGTCAGTCATAGGCTTAACCTAAGCTAAAAAAACTCTCAACCCGAAATCAATCCAACCTGTTTTAACATGAGCTTTTCAATCTGAGTATTGGTTTTGTTATATTTTTCAAGTTCGTTTTAAAATCAGGTTAGTAAATTTGGACTCAATCTGAGTATAGGTAAACAAGTCAGTCATAGGCTTAACCTAAGCTACAAAACTCTCAATCCAACCAGTTTTAATATGAGTTATTCAATCTGGGCATTGGTTTTGTTATATTTTTCAAGCTTGTTTTAAAATCAGGTTTGTAATTTGGGCTCTAGTTGGGCTTTTGATTGTTTGGGTTCAGCATGAGGAGGCGGCACGCATAAGAACACATTTGCCCGAATTTAAAGATCTTCAAATCTTTCAAAACAAAAACCCGATTTTAGTAGTATTGCCGAGGCAAATAAAGCTGTGGAATTCATAAGAATATCAAAGGCTGTGGTGGAAGACCCCATCATCAATCCATTGCTCTCAAAGACAAAGCAACGCCTGCTCGGGATTGTGTCTTTGGCGGGTCTACAGTTTTGTGGTGACTGGTGACAGAAGGGACTTTGTTGTTCGGTTTTTGATATAATACCAAAATTTGACAAATACGACAAGTATCATCTTAATATAAAAATTGGGTTGGCTTTAATATAATTCACAAAATAATTATTTTATGACTAAATTATAAATGGATTTTGCAATTTAAATAGTTTTGGAAGTCAAGTTTTTTATGAGGAAATCCTTGTCAAATCTTCAACCAGCACAAATAGACTTCCTCCATTTATTCCAAAAAATTCATACCGGTAGATGAGAGAATTTGGGTATCTTTTTCTTATTTGTAAATATTTTAGCCTCCTAAATTTTCTTCTTGCATCAGTAGCAACGGTAGCATTTGAAAGAACTTATTCAAGGAATGTAATGACGGAAAGTAAAATTTTATAAAAGAATTTCAGTCATCGGATTCAGATTGAATATGTTAACCCTAGGTTTCAACCTAAGTATTTTGTTATACAAATTTTAAAAATGTCAACCCAAGTATTAAATTTCTCGAGTTGGATTTGGGGTTAAATTTGAGTTAGCTCACACAAGTTCCTATCCGATACTTTATGAATGAATTTTTTCTTGATATACCTTACCCGATCAAGTATAGTATTCTTACTCAACTTACATCCAAATTAATCATGTAAGAAATCGGATAAGAAATCAAGTGAATACATTTTGTAGTTATTAATTTTTTTATTATTTTAACAATTCAATTAAATAACCTGCACCAATTTAACAACACAAAAAACTAATAACATTAAAACCTAAAACAATTACAATAACAATTATAATAAAACACAATAAAGTCAAAGCATAAACATCAATCCATCATAATTGTTGCACAAATACAATAACAATTATTTTAGGTTTAAACCATATCAAACACATCAAAAATTATAACTGCTCCAATATATATATGCAGGTAGGGTTGGATAGGAATACACAAATTTGATGGGTATTCTGCATTCGTACCCGATTTAATCGAAAGACTAAAAAATCTTCTGTTTTCCTACCCAATTTTTTTGGTTAACTGATAAGTAGAATTGGATAGAATCGAATAAAATAGAAAATTAGGAGTACTCATAAATTTAAATACCCATAATTGCACCGTTAACGACCCCACTTGATGAAGGCATCCAAAACATTTAATGAGCTAATTACTGTTAAAAAAAATGAACTAATTAATTTCTTGGGTGAAGATAGAAAGAATGAAAAAAGTGGAACATTTTATTGCAAGTTTTAAATTGTATTAAATTTAAAATGTTAAATATACGTTTATAACCCTTTATTTTCTACTCTCTTGTTTATGCTGCTCAAGCGGATCCCAATTAATATTAGAGTCTATTGTCAATGAAATATTGAGATTGATTACGTCAATAATTTAAGTCAGTAAATCAAAAACAAGTAGAATTGTTTTATGATGATAATAGTAACAAAATGAGGTAAAACAATAAAATAACAAAAAATTACACCAAAAAATATATATTTTTTTCAATAGTGCTCACTAGACAAATTGGGAGTGAAATCCCAAATGTAATAAACCTGAACCTCGCTGATGCCACGTTATTGTATCCTTTGTTTCCAACCTGCCATTAAGCTATTTTTTGTCAGTTACGATAGTTGCAAAACACTACTAAGTAATTCACGTATCACTTGATACGAACAATGTATGTTTTTCGTTAAACTAGAGTCTTTATTTTCAATCGAAGTACGAACAAGGACCCTATAACCTTCACCATTTATCCTATTGAATATTTTGTACATATAAACATCATAATATATGAATGACGGTAAGCAATCAAAGAACCAACATAATACCAAAGAGATAGGAGACTGACCGCAATTGCAAGAATTGGTTGACGTTCTTTCATTTTAGTCGTGAAAAATGAAAGTCATTTAATTTAATACGGTAGTCTAACGAAGGTTTAGCAAACCCAAGAATCGTCTAAGTTACAAGGTTCATTGGACCACGTTGTCCTGGTTATGTTCTTTGTTGGAAATTATTCGTTGTCGGACTCTTCTTTTTGTCCCCATCCATTATAGGGATAATGCGTCGCTTCAGTGTATTCTACAGCTTGTCTTAGTTTAATACCTGTTCAGGAATTTGCTATGATTCAGCCAAGTGCTCTGCACCGTGGACTAGCACAGTAATAACCCATTATTCGAGTTTCAATTTTTATTTTATTTTAGTCAATGATTCGAATTGTCTGAATTAGTTTATACGCACTTCAACTAATTTTGTCTATGATAAATAAATCGCTCGAGACGTGATTAGAAGAGAAATTTTCAATTCACATGAGTCTCAAATTGTCAATAGGAGGTTTCAACTCATTTGGTGCGTTTTGAATTCTCCACTGAGAAATCACAATACCAATATGTTCCTATCTATATATCAATGTGTTTTTTGAGGCCCTGCTTGTGGCATGTGGCACGTGGTGCTGTTGCATGCTTGTGACCATTTCGGGATAAATTCATCGTTGGTATATGTCATGTCTCCAGAAAAGGAATGCCGTGGTGGTTTTCAGGTTGACCGATTCATATGGGTTTTCATATTTTGCTCGATCTTAAATCACCAATCACCGATCACCAATCACCAATCACCAACTTAAGTTATGTCAATTATAAATACCTCGGTTACCCAACTAGACCTACACTTATAAACAACTCAAAAAAGTCGTAATCTCTTATATTCGGAACACGTATATAAGATTATATAGTTAATCTTAACTTGTACTCTGAAATATTACTTGAATCTCAATTTATATCCTCAAAATTTAAAAATATTAATTTACACCTTAAAAGACATAAATTCATATTAATGTGCACCTGAGATTAACTGCTATTCATTTTGCTGTTAAAAAAATTTGGACTAATTATAAATTGCACCCTTAAAATTGAAATATTTTATATTTATGATTCAAAAAAAAAATATTCTGTTAATGTTCATTAAATAGCTTTCAATTGTGTCGTATCATGTTAATGGATTTAAATCCCCTCCATTATCCTTTCCCTTCAATTTCCCTCAATACAGTGTTAGATGAGTGACACGTGTAAGTTTTTGAATTCAATGAATAAGATGTTTCGTCATTCATTTTTATTGTTGGTGGAGTGTTTACCATTATTAAGGAATTTTCTCACAAGGAAAAAATCTTATTCATTGAAATTTAAAATTTAACACATGTCACTCATCTAACACTGTATTGAGGGGAATTGAAGAAAAGGGATAATGGAGAGGATCTGAATCTCATGTTAATGGATGAAATTCTTTTTTAATCATAAATGTGAAATATTTAAACTTTAAATGTGGAATTTATAATTATCCAAAGCTTTTTAAACCGCAAAATGAATGATAATTAACCCTCGATGGACATTGATACAAATTTATATCTTTCATGGTGTAAATAATAAATTGATATTTTTAAAATTTTAGGGTGCAAAATTGAGATTTGAGTGATATTTTAGGATGCGAGTTGAGATTAGCCCAAGATTATAATTTAATTAAATTTCAGTTTTCATTTCTTATCGGTTCATTTGGTAGTGTGGATGAAAAGAATAGAAAGATGAAAAGAAGGAGTTATACATTCTCTATCTTTTAAAGGAGGAATCATTATTTCCCTCATTTGTGTTTGGTAAGAGAGATAGAAAGTAGGAAAAATTAATTTTTTTGTGTTTAGTAAGATAGAAAAAGTATTTTTAAATTTTTTATTTGAAAAAAATATAAATAAATATTTTACCATTATATTTATATTTGAGATTAATGTATATATAATATATAATATGTAATTGATAAATATGATATTATATGAAATTTTTTTTGACAAGATATTATATTTATATATCAAAAAGATATATAGATAAATAAAATACATTTCAACACACGTAATTAATTTTTTCTTTAATTTTTCCTCCTGATTTTGGAGGGATTGATTTTTGTGAGTTGGAAAGAAAAATAATCCATTCTTCTTATTTTTTTTTCTTTACCAAACATGATATTTTATCTATCCCTCCAATTTTTCATCTTTTAATTTTTTCACGGTACCAAACGAAACATAAGAATTCTAACATCAACTAACGAAATCATTAAACCATAAACATATCGAGCACTAATTCTGGTTGTCATGGCAGCCTTGTCCCTTGTTCATGCGCTCATAATTGAAATTTCATGACTTAAAATTCAGATTAGGGAGACAAGGTGGAC